TAGGGTTTGTCGAAATCATCTACGGGCCCCACCCAGCCTCCTGGTCACGGAGTGATGCTTGCACCGCCCACCCCCTTTCTTCCATAGAAAACGAAAGATCTGCGCTCCCGAGGCCACGATCCCCAGTCGAAAATGTGGATCTGCGCTCCCGAGCTTCCAGGACGGACGAGGTAAGCAACCAAGGCTTCCAGGATGGCCTGAGATGCCTCCAAGACGGCCCAAAGGTGGTCGCAGGCTGGTCCAAGATGGCCTTAAGACGACCCAAGGGGCGCCTAAAACAGCTCAAGAGGGCCACGAAGAAACCAGAATCGCAAAAGTTCCCTGATTGCTCGAATGATGTTTGAGTCCTCAACTCCTTCAGGCTTCCTTCAGCTCCAGACGGCTCTAGAGAGCGAGGCGGGGATTTATCCATGACCACCGCCAGGGAACCGACGTCCTGGCACCCCAGCGGGCGGTGGATATGGATATACTTGGGCCCCAGGGGGCCCGAATGTATCCATATCCACTGCCTGCCGAGCTCCCCAAAGATTGATCCCCCAGGCGGCGGTCATGCACAAATCCCCGCCTTGGATAGAGGCATCCAAGATGGCCCCAAGACGGCCCAAGAGGGCCCCGAAGTGGCCAAATGGTCCCGCAGGACGCCTCCAAAACTGCCCAAGAAGGCCTTCGAGCAGCTGCCTCCGAGAGTACCGGGCTGGCACGGCAGCGGGACGTGCCGCAGGCAGCTGGACAATGAAATCATGACTTTCCAAACGCCAGTGGCGTATCTCTGGTTTTTCCCCAAACAACTTGCTGAACGGGGTGCTATTGTGATAGAAGCTAACTCCGGCCGACGGAAGGGGAAGCAGAGACATCCTCACAAAAATTTGATGGTCCGGGCCGTTTCGCTTGAGGCATCCTCACAACTCTCGTTTCTGAGTTGGCCAGGATTGGCCGTTTCGCCTGAGACATCCTCGAAAAGTTGCGCTCTGGGACGCTGCGCGAAAGGTGGTCCGGGCCGTTTCGCTTGAGACATCCTCGAAACTCTGAGCCCCGAGGTGCCGTGCGAGAGGTGGTCCAGGCCGTTTCGTCTGAGACATCCTCGAAACTCCGAGCTCTGAGATGCCTTGCGCGAGGTGGTCCGGTCCGTTTCGCCTGAGACATCCTCGAAACTCTGACCTCGGAGATGCCGCGCGAGAGGTTGTCCGGCCCGTTTCGCCTGAGACATCCTCGAACTTCTGAGCTCCTGCGCGAGAAGGTCCGGCCCGTCTCGCCTGAGACATCCTCGCAACTCTGAGCTCTGAGATGCCGTGCGCAAGGTGGTCTGGCCTGTTTCGCACAAGACATTCTCGCAACTCTGAGCTCCCAGATGCCGCGCAAGAGGTGGTCCAGCCTGGGGGCCCAGAAGACCACATGTTACATATCCTCCCTGGGACCCTGGGAGCCCGATTGAGACATCCTCGAACTTCTGAGCTCTGAGATGCCCTGCGCGAGGTGTCCAGCCCGTCTCGCCTGATACATCCTCGCAACTCTGAGCTGAGATGCCGTGCGCAAGGTGGTCCGGCCTGTTCGCACAAGACATTCTCGCAACTCTGAGCTCCCAGATGCCGCGCAAGAGGTGGTCCAGCCTGGGGGCCCAGAAGACCACATGTTACATATCCTCCCTGGGACCCTGGGAGCCCCAGGAGGCCCCAGAGAGCTCCAGGAGGCCGCAGGACGCCCAGGACAGGCCCCAGGGGTCCCCAGGAGATTCCCAGGAGGCTCCCAGGAGGCTCCAGGAGGCCCCCTATCAGAACGTGTCAAGTTAATACACATCCGGTGTCGATTCGTTGATTTTTCCTGCTCTTGTGCCCCCTCCCTCCATTTTGAGGGGCCCAAACAGCCATAGGTTAGATATCCCCCCTGGGAGCCCCAAGAGGCTTCACGAAACCCCAGGTGGAGTTCAGGAGGCCACAAGTCCCAGGAGGTCCCCAGGAGGCCCCAGGAGGCACCAGGAGGCCCCCGCAACTCGGAGCTCTGAGACGCCGCGCTCGAGGTGGTCCGGCCCGTTTCGCCTGAGACTTCCTCGCAGCACGTTTCGCAAGAGACATCGCCCCAACTCTGGGGTCCGAGATGCCGCGCGCGAGGTGGTCCAGCCCGTTACGCTGGAGACATCCTCGCAACTCTAAGCTCCGAGATGCCGTTCGGGATGAAGAGGAGGTGGAGGAGGAGGAGGAGGAGGAGGAGGAAAAGGAGAAGGAGAAGGAGAAGGAGATGGAAGGGAGAAGGAGGAGGCGGATTATGTGCATGAGGGAGCAGGCAGGAGGAGGGGGAGGAGGATGAGGAGGAGGAGGAGGGAGAAGGAAGGGAGTTGCAGGAGAGGACCTAACGGGAAGCGAGTGCGACGTGGACTTGTCAGAACGTGTGCGAGAGATTGTCCGGCCCGTTTCGTTTAAGACATCCTTCCAATACTGAGCTCCAAGATGTCGCTCGCGAGGTGGTCCGGCCCGTTTCGATTGAGCCATCCTCGCAATGCGAGGCTCGAAGATGTTGCGCGCGAGATGGTCTAGCCCGTTCTGCCTGAGACGTTTCGTAGCACAGGGGCTCCAATCAAAACCTCTCTCATTCCTTCTCCCGCCTCCCTTTTCCCACTTCCCGCCTGGCTCCTCTTCCCTCCTCCCTCCTCCCGCCTCCCGCCTCCCGCTGCTGCGCCTCTGCCTCCGCCTCCCCGTCCCCGCCGTCGTCGTTTCTGCCGCCTCAGCATCCGTCATGCGCGCACTGCCTTCCTCCCTCCCCAGACATCCGACGTCACGATTTTTCCCCAAACAACTTGCTGAACGGGGTGCTGTTGTGATAAAAACTAACTCCGGCCGAGGGAAAGGGGAGCAGAGACATCCTCACAAAAATTTGATGGTCCGGGCCGTTTCGCTTGAGGCATCCTCACAACTCTCGTTTCTGAGTTGGCCAGGATTGGCCGTTTCGCCTGAGACATCCTCGAAAAGTTGCGCTCCGGGACGCCGCGCGAGAGGTGGTCTGGCCCGTTTCGCTTGAGACATGCTCGAAACTCTGAGCCCCGAGGTGCCGTGCGAGAGGTGGTCCGGCCCGTTTCGCCTTAGACATCCTCGCAATCCGGGCTCCGAGATGCCGCTTGCGAGGTGGTTCGGCCCGTTTCGACTGAGACATCCTCGAAACTCTGAGCCCCGAGATGCCGTGCGAGAGGTTGTCTGGCCCGTTTCGCCTGAGATATCCTCGCAACTCTGGGCTTCGAGATACCGCTTGCGAGGTGGTCTGGCCCGTTTCGCTTGAGACATCCTCGCAACTCTGGGCCCCGAGGTGCAGCGAAAGAGGTGGTCCGGCCCGTCTCGCCTGAGACATCCTCGCAACTCTGAGCTCTGAGATGCCGTGCGCGAGGTGGTCCGCCCCGTTTCGCATAAGACATTCTCGCAACTCTGAGCTCCCAGATTCCGCGCAAGAGGTGGTCCAGCCTGGGGGCACAGAAGATCATATCTTACATATCCCCCCTGGGACCCTGGAAGCCCCAGGAGGCCCAAGAGAGCTTCAGGAGGCCGCAAGACGCCCAGGACAGGCCCGAGGTGTCCCCAGGACATCCCCAGGAGGCTCCCAGAAGGCCCCAGGAGGCCCCCCATCAGAACGTGTCAAGTTAATACACATCCCGTGTCGATTCGTTGGTTTTTCCTGCTCTTGTGGCCCCACCATTTTGGGGGGCCCGACGGCCACATGTTAGACATCCCCCCCTGGGAGCCCCAAGAGGCTTCAGGAAGCCCCAGGTGGGGTCCAGGGAGGCCACAGGAGGGAGCAGGAGGTCCCCAGGAGGCCCAAGGAGGCCCCAGGAGGCCCCCGCAACTCGGAACTCTGAGACGCTGCGCTCGAGGTGGTCCGGCCCGTTTCGCCTGAGACTTCCTCGCAGCACGTTTCGCAAGAGACATCGTCGCAACTCTGGGGTCCGAGATGCCGCGCGCGAGGTGGTCCGGCCCGTTACGCTGGAGACATCCTCGCAACTCTGGGCTCCGAGATGCCCTGCGCGAGGTAGTCTGGCCCGTTTCGCCTGAGACATCCTCGCAACTCTGAGCTCTGAGATGCCGTGCGCATGGTGGTCCGGCCCGTTTCGCATAAGACATTCTCGCAACTCTGACTGAGCTCCCAGATGCCGCGCAAGAGGTGGTCAAGCCTGGGGGCCCAGAAGACCACATGTTACACATCCCCCCTGGGAGCCCCAGGAGGCCCAAGAGAGCTTCAGGAGGCCGCAAGACGCCCAGGACAGGCCCCAGGGGTCCCCAGGAGATTCCCAGGAGGCTCCCAGGAGGCCCCAGGAGGCCCCCTTATCAGCACGTGTCAAGTTAATACACATCCGGTGCCGATTCATTGAGTTTTCCTGCTCTTGTGGCCCCCCCGCCCATTTTGGCCACATGTTAGATATCCCCCCCTGGGAGCCCCAAGAGGCTTCAGGAAGCCCCAGGTGGAGTTCAGGAGGCCAAAGGAGGCCCCCGCAACTCGGAGCTCTGAGACGCCGCGCTCGTGGTGGTCCGGCCCGTTTCGCCTGAGACTTCCTTGCAGCACGTTTCGCCCGAGACATCGTCGCAACTCGGGGGTTCGAGATGCCGCGCGCGAGACGATCCAGCCCGTTACGCTGGAGACATCCTCGCAACTCTGGGCTCCGAGATGCCGTTCGGGATTAAGAGGAGGTGGGGGAGGACGAGGGCGAGGAGGAGGAGGCATGTTCTACCGTGCCATGCTAGCCCACACTGGACGGGCGCGCAATCGACCTTGGAAACCGCAGTGGGTTTAAAAACCCTGCTTGGGGATACTGCACTCCGGCTATAATCTTTGTTTGTTGGCCAGTTCTCGCTGCTTTCGTTTTCTGGTGAAGGCGGTCTGCCGCACGGCAGAGCAGTGACTGGTGACTGAAAACATGTCTCTCGATTATCAAGGGCTCCCAACTGCGCGCTTCGCGCTGCGCGATGCGCGAAGCGCGAATAACTTCGCGCTCTCGCGCCGCCTCCCTGGAGAGAAGAGGAGGATGAGGAATCGGAGCCGAACTACGAAGCGCGAAGCGCGAATAACTTCGTGCCCTCGAGGGCGCCCTTGGATCATGCACCTCGGGGGCGGGCCAGTAGCGTAGCTCTGGCGGTGCGGGGTTCCACATGCGGACGTCAACAACGGCGACACGTTCACCGCAGGAGTCATCCGCTGTACGCGCTTGGCAAAACACAGAGAGCCCACACGACACGCAGAGGAATCACACGTGCGTGCATCAAACCACCGCAAGCATCGGCAACTCAGCGAAGATGGACCCCACCCGTACGGCAGACGCGGCGCATTGCGAGATACGTAGGACTAAATGTCCATCCACGGGACGGAAGGAAGAGGGAGGGGGCGGCAGGAGTAGGAGTAGGAACCGGTAGCGCTGTCAGCACCGATGTGTACAAACCTTGGCCTCGGTGAGCCTCTCTTCGGCCTCATTGAAGATTTGTGCCTTTAAACCAGCTCGACTTCTACCGAGTTTCTTTACCCATAGGCTTGAGAACATGGTTGTCGAGAAAGGTTGAGGGGGGCGGGTGAAGGGAGGAGAGAGGGGGGCGTAGATTCTCCGAGAAGCGATAAGACGCCACGATCCGCAAGTGCTGTACTGCTACGTCTGCGCACTGCATGGGAAAACCAGAGGCTCGCACCAGGCCTCGATGTCAACGGCCAACCACTGACCCTAGTCTTCATTCGCGAATGTGCTCCCATCAATTGAGGGGTAACGAGTGGGGGCATACGGGGGGGGGGCACATCGACCCGGAATCGGTGATGCGTCACGGATAGATCGGCGACAGGCCCCCGACGGCAAGCCCTCACGTTCCTGGGCGGGGTGGGGCCGTCAGACCCACATCGGCGATCAACGGGCGATTGGGGGTCGATGCATCCCCCCCTGTGCCCCACCCGCTGTCGTTGCCCCTGATCGGTGCTTTGGGCGCCCTCTCTCTCCCTGCCGCCCTCTCCGGGGGTCCCTCCCTGGCTCTCCTCCGGAGTGCCCGCGCGCTGCCACCTCACGCCGCACTCGCCGGCGCCTCGTCGATCGGGCGCAGCCTCCTCGGGGCCCCCTGCGGCCCGCCGTGCCAGGGCACGCGAAGCTTCGACACTCCAAGCAGGTTCATGAATACGATCGGATTGAAATAGTCGGACCCGTCTGGAGGGCAGAAAACCCACCCATCATACACCCTGCGAAATGCTTAAGAAATCATGGGTTAAGAAATTCATAGTCTCAGAACTTGAATAAAAACCCAACATTTCGATTAAAAACTTAGGATGTTCATTGAAACGTTAAGAATAATCGAGACTCTGGCCGAAAACTTAAGTTTTCTTAAGCATCGCCTAAGGTGTAATCACCCCGACACGAAGCCGTTTAGCAAACGCACCCACAAACGAGATCGAGCAGGGCAGGGCTGTCCAGTAAGCGCCCCGGGCCGTTGAGCAAACGCCAACTATATCGGGCCCGGGTGGCTTTTCCTCCCTTGACCTTCGTCCGAATCACGCGGGCCGTCGGTGTAGCCGTCGACCGCAAGCTCTGCGCGCTCCGCCAGCAGGAACGCAGCGCAGCCGCTGGAGAACCGCACCGCACCGGAGCCGACGCCCGCGACCAGTTCCTCGCCACGCCTCGAGGAGGGGATCGACTACAAAGTACCTTACCCCAAAGTTGATTTGCTCCTCGGATATACGTAAGACCCGTACAGTGCTCGTAGAGCTCCGAACATGAACTGTATTCGTTGTACACTCGACGAGAAAATCAGTTCGGGGGTCAATCGGTTTTTGCAGTCGATCCCCTATTCGAACGCCTGTACTCCCTCTGGTTCGCGAGATCCTGGCAACTCCTGTGGACCTCATCCACGATCTCCTTCGGAAGCCAATCGCTCAGGCGCGGCGGACGGCGCCCACCCTCGAAGCGCAGCAGCATGCCCTCGACGCGCATGCCCCTGCTCGCGGTGTCCAGCCGCAGGCAGACGGACGAGACACGGCCCGCGTCCGTCGCGCAGCTCCCCGCGGACGAGGAGGAGGCCCTCGAGGACGACGAGATGGAGCTGCGGGACCTCCGGCCGACGCCGTGGACGGGCCGCTGCACCGGCGCCCGCTGCTGCTGGGCCAACGCCGGCGCCGCGCCGCACGACGGGCGCTGCTCTCCCGCCGGCGGCGCGCCCGCGGCCTGCGTCCTCGGGCCCTCGGGAGCGGGCGCGCGCGCCGTCTGGGCCGCCGCGGGCTGCTGCGGCGCCACGGCACCGGGGGCAGCCACGCAGGCCTCCCGCGGCAGCGCCTCGCAGGTCTTCCGGATGCCCATCAGGAACTCGGGGGCTTCCTGGACGTCGCCGACGTGGATCAGGAACAGCTCCACCGGGGTCGGGTGCGCTCCGCCCTCCCTCCGCAGGGACACCTGTATGGAGATCGCGTGGCCCATGGGGCAGTCGGCCAAGCTCGGGCCTTGGGCTATTGAGGCGGCGACGTGCTCGGACGAGAAATCTTGAGAGCGCTGCTGCGACACCGCCGCCCCAGAGATGAAGTCCTGGAAGCGCTGCTGGTCGGACTCCAGCAAGTGCTGCAAAAAACTGCATCCATGAACCGTGTTCCTCGTGCCTCCTGAGCCCAGCAAGTCCAACGGGTGTGGGGAATGGGCGATGACGTTACATTGTGGGCAGATGCGCAGCTGCGCGTCGCAGAGTACACCTAGCAGTGTCTGAACTGCCCGATGCTCCCTGCAAGACTGGCTGGACTCTACGGATGCCTTGACGCGGTCTTTCTCGCAGGCCTCCAAGAATGCTGAGGCAAAGCAGATCAGGGCACAGGTAACCATTTCAATCATGCACTGGTGGACAACGGCGGCCATGGAAGAGTGTCCGTCCATGCATAGCTGCTCGCGCCGCTTCCAGGAAGAAAGGCACGTCACTGCAGAAAGAACCATGTTCCATCTCACCGACATCTTGCAATCAAGTAGCGAGACCGCGAGAATCACTCGTGCCGCGGTATAGAAGCCGCCATACATGAGGAACAGTACGTGTGTGTCTTCAACGTACGTTCGCACCGCAATGCACGCCATAAAAAACTTGAACATGCACTCTATGTCCACGACAGAGAAGCCCGATGAACGTCTCGAGTACTTCAAGTACAGCGATGCTAAATGACGCAAAGACATGGCCACCGCCTTGACAACAACACTCCTGTCGGAGGCATCCGCGGCATAAATGAACATCCCCTGCGGCAAAAATATACCCGCCGAAATGGGCATCAGCACCGAATCCACAACGTGCTGCAATCGCGCCACCCTTGCCCTGTTCAGCTCCTTCGAAACTCTGGCATCGAAGGACGTGCAAAGACGCGGCGGTAAGGCAGGCGATCGGAGAACCTTTCTCAGTGCGAATAGCGACGCCACAGTATCGTTCCATCCAAGACATATGAGTGCTACCAGAGAGCAAAAACTGAAGAAGATACAGCCCCGAACCACAAAAGTGACAATGTACTCTTGCTGCGACAACTCGAGGCGGCACGACAAGGACATCCCACCACCAAGAGCCGCTCGAGCCCGCCCAGAGGCCGCGCAATGCCCTCGACGTCAGCCAAGCCCGATCGCACCCGATGGGTCGATCCTTTGTCTGACGAAACGGGGCATTCAGGCACGTTATACCGCGTCTGTGCCAAACTACAACAGGTTGACATTCACACTCACACACACACACAAACACACACACACACATACACACATAGACACACACACACAAACACACACACACACACAAACACAAACACAACACACACGCACACATACACACATATGCACACACACACACATTCACACACACACACACACACACACGCACACACGCACACACACACACACACACACACACTTTTAAGTCGGCGGCACAGAGGAGCCTCAGGCGCGGTCGACTGGTGGAGGTGCCAATTGCGAACGAACTTCGTCGAACGCGCCACGATGAAAGAATCCAACCACGCACGGCCATGCAGATTGGTGGAAAAAATGAAGCGCTGCAAAGCCAGAAAGCAACGGTCAAAGTACCCGCGGAGCGAAGGATCAACGCAATAAGTTGACGCGCAAACAGCAGTCTGGTGCGAATTACCCCACGAGAGGCAGCAACGAAAAACTGCACGGCTGCCAGACCAGCCGGCTTGGGGGCGACGCGAAGCGCGCGAAACAGCGCGGCAAGGCGACGCCACCGGCCTTGCGACAGGCACGACAAGAGCGTCGTGCAACGGAAGGCAAGAAGCCGGCGAGAGGCGGTGTGAAGGTGAAACACGCACGCCCACACACACACAGAAACACACACACACACACACAGAAACACATCACCACCATCGCAGCGATCATCAAGGTCACGCGAACGGCCCCCTTTCCAACCGCCCGCGACACAAACAAGCCGCGCAGGCGACAGAGAAAGAGAGAAATCATAACAAAAGAAGAGAGAGAGAGAGAGAGAGAGAAAAGGAGAGGGAGAAGGAGAGGAAGAGAGCAACAATTCGGACGAGGTGTTCGTCCCCAGGCGGAAAGTCCAAGCGCCTCCTGCCCGCGCCCCAGTGGCGGGATGGCCGCACGCAAGCGGCAGGGGCGGCGAAAACCTCCCCCCTGGCGCGGTCGAAAAGGGGATGCCGCCTGAAAGAAACTGGCGGCCTGCAGTGATCAGGGCGCGGCACGCCCCGTCTGCACCCCCGAACCCGAGAAGAGACTCCGGCGTTCCGTCCGCTTCGGCACGCGCGCCTCGGAGCCCTGCGACGTGGAAGCGCCGCCACGGGGCGCGCCCCCCCCCGGCGGCCCAGCGCCGGGACAACGGAGCACGCTGCCAGGAGCTCTCACAGGGGCACGAAGTGCGCGCGGAAGGAGGTGGCTGGCACTGGTGCGTTAGCGGCGAGCGGCAAGTCGCGCCCGGGGGCGTTGCTGGAGAGCGGCCTAGGGGGGGCAGGCGTCCGGGACGCCTGTCGGATGTCCTTCCAGGCGGACTGTGCTCTGTGGAGCCGGTCGAAAATTGGTCTGGACTGTTCCTGCCTGGATGTCTGACGAACGGACAACACACATCCATACCCTTACGGGGTCGGAGGCAGGAGGACTGGCTAGGGGCACAGGTTCGGGCTGTTGGACCCGAGGGGAAGCTCCCGTTCGAGAGGGGGCCCCCCCTCCGACAACACGCACCGATAGCCCACTCCGCCCCCCTTTGTGGGCATGGGTGTGCGTTGCTCGCTCGTCAACGTCAGTGCAAATGCGGGACTGGACGCACGTTGCTGAAGCGCCGTGGCACTAGCAGCGAATGCGGCTTCGCAATCCTGCGGGGGCTGCGGCCTGGCCGTAGCGAGGCGCTGCGCGAGGCCGCTCCTCTGGGCGGTGCGCCGCGCTAAGCCACGAAGGTCGAACGAGCGCCTGCACCCCGGCGGCCATTGAAAGGGCCAGCGGTCCCCGTTCCCGGGCGGGGCGGGGGATGCGCCTGGCGGCAGGAAGCGCTGCGCTGGGAGGCTGGATGCGCTGCAGAACTGGGCCATGGCGCTGCTGGCGCAGGTGCAGCCTGAGGTCTGGCAGTCTGCGTCGGGGGGAACGGTCGGGTCCGCACTTCCTCCCGCGTGGTCGACGCCACCGCTGCGCTGCGTGGGTCGCAGTGGATTACCTGCGGCGGGGTCCTGGTGGACCTCCACCTCCTGGGTCTTGCCATCGCTGTCCCGGCAGCCCAGCACGATGGGGGCGGTCGTCATCGCCATTGTCGAGGGCCCTCCCAGGCCGAGCGGGCCCTCCTCGCCACCTTCAAGGCTGTCACGAAGCAAGTCCCATGGATCGCCGAATTCATCGGCCCCGGCGGGCCTGGCGGGCCTCGGCGGAGGAGGGAGGAGGAGGACGAGGAGGAAGAGGAGGCGGAAGAGGAAGAGCCTCCTGCCCTGGCCCTGGTGGGCTTTGGAACTGGGGCGCGTCGCCGGGCGGGCCCCCGGCGGCTCGCCCCCGCCGCCCCCGCGCGGTGACCGGGTTGGGTTTGATCCGATGGATCTCTGCCCTGAAGCACCCCGCTCGCGCGCCGGGGAGCGGGGGAGCGCGGCGACGACGATCGCGCATCGCGACCGCGGCGCTGCGAAGGACAGCCGCAACTTGTTGCATACACCTGGCCGCGTCGATGACGTCCTGCGGTATGGAGTGCGCGTGGGCTCCCGCTGTAGCTGGCTCGTCAGCGCGACGATTGACGGCTTCGGCGATTGGCGAGATGCGCGCCATTCGTTGATACCTTGCTGCCCAGGGTCGCTTTACACTTTTCCAAACTTGAAGATGTCGGGCTTGGCGTGGACCACCCGATATATTCGATGCCATAGGTCGGCCTGGGAACCGTTGGTTTGCGGGGGGTCCTTCGGGGAGAGCTTCGACTTCGTCGACGACGGCTTGGTCGTCGACGAAGACGTGGACATGTCTCTCGGTCTCTCAGCCGTGGCGGCCAGGATGTCAGCGCGTCGCGCTGACTGCGCCAGTGAACTCGGGCGGAATGGTTTAGCCGGTGCTCTGGTCCATAGTGCACGGCGAACCCAGCCCTGGCGATGAGGTGGTGGGCTTGGCGCGAGCACGCTCCGTCGGTGGCTACGAAGGCCCCCCCTAGCTCCCGCGGCGGGGTCTGTGCCTTCCTCAGAGCGGTCCTCATCCTGACCTTTTGGCGTCGGTCTGGGGATGGGCTGCGGGAGTTCGTCCTGGGCGAGGTCGGCCTGCAAGTCTAAAAGCTTAGCACCCTCGTCGAGGAGCCCGTACTGTCTAGCGCGCGGCAGGATGTCTCTCCGCTGTTCTGTCGATATCACGGTGGCCAGTGCCTTTCGTTCGCTGGCCCAGCACGGACATATCCCGACGGCATGCTCCCGCGTCTCCTCATCTCGGCTAAAACACCGGCGCAGCGGGGGCGGGTCGGCCCAATTGTCTCTGCCGCGCGCGCCCCCCTCCCACACGCACACACACACACAAAGGTAGTCGCGCAGGAGACCAAGTTGCCACGCCGCGCAGAGGGCGTTGCTCTTGGCTCTCCGGAACAAGGCACCGGAGAAGAAGTCGAGGCCTTATTCGACGGCCGCAACCGCTCTGAGGCCGCGTCTGGCGGCGGGGTTCGTCGGAGGAAAGCGCGTCTCCGCGATGCCCTGGGCACGTGCGCGAGCATCCCGATCGGAGGACCCAGCCATGGAAGGCGCGCGCCCGCGTCGTCACACAACGCGCCGGAAGCTGGTCAGCTCCGTTCCAGGTGGGCAATGGTTTGGCAGACTCTGCCTCCGTGGCCGCCCCCTTGGAGAGTCTGCGCGCGAGCACGGGCCGCTTCGGCTCTGGCGTCGAGAGCGGCACCCCGTCGCGCCCGCCTGCGCAGCCCGAGGAAGGCCCCACGCCGCGCGAGAACATCAAACTCCAAGGCGCGGCCTGGAACGGCGACAGCACACACGGTCCACCGAGATACTCGTTGGGGCGAATGGCAGCGAGCAGCGCGTTGTCGAGGTTTCGAATCTTCGCGCCTGGCGCTTGGATGTCGGAGCCAGCGGCGCATGCGCATGCCACCTGGGGCCCAGCGGAGCGGGCTCTCGCGCAGGTGCCTTCGGGGAAGCGCCCGACGTGGGGGGGTCTGGCAACGGCGCGGCGGACTCGGGCGTCTGCGGCGGCAGAGAGGCGAAGGCCTGGGCCTTCCGCTGCTGGCGCAACGTTGACGCAGCTCCCCACAAGTTTCACCTGGCGGCGAGGTTTGAAGGGTCGGCCGTCGGGGTCAAGAACCCCCACAGGGTGGCGAAGCTTTTCGCCGCTAGCCACGACACTTCGCTCGGGTGGATTTTCTGCCCGAGAGGCGGTCGAACAAGAAAACTTCCTCCAGCGAGGCTTGAAGTTCACGAGTCGCGGGGACGATGGAGTTGCTATCGCCAACGAACGCAATACTGAGGGAACGCGGCACGTGACTGTGCTATCGCTTGGCCCATGCACACGCAACGAGCTTGACATCGTCGAGCGAGAAGGAGCTACCCTGAAGGTGGCCAATGGTGCGCGCCACGGGGTGGGAGCCGGAGCCCATGCGAAAATTGTCAATGGTTGGCGCAAAGGGCCCTCCTGAGTTTGACGGCGCCAGGTGGGCACCCTGCGAGGAGTGCGAGGTTGAAGCAGATGTCCGCGACGAGGTAGTCGAAGAATTTGCGCCTGTCGAGCGACGCCTCCGCGAGCGCCTCGTTCAGGTCGAATGTCTGGCGTGCTCCACCTGCATGGGGAGCGTCGTGCTGACGCCACTGATGGCGGCGCGCGAGACTGCACTGAGGCTGGCCGGGTTATCCCACCGCACTCGCCATGACGCGAGGCCAAGGTTGGCCGGCGCCCTCCAAGCATACATCCAGATGGACATAACGGAGAGAAGGCGCTGATCCGTTGGGCAAGCTCTCCTTTCGTTTCACGGAGACGGGTTGGGAATGGAACTTCTCCAGCGCACTGCACGTCTTTCAGCGCTCCAGGAAACAGACGCCGAAGCCCCGCCTGGGAGCGTCTTGGCCTCTTTCGCGGCCCATCCACGCCCCCTGCTTGGAAAGCAGGGCGGGCACGGACGCAGTGGACGAGTGCTTCGTCGGACACGGGGACGGCGTTGTTGGTCCTGACACCGCCGTGGCGACATCGCCCGAGCATTGGTTCCCAGGTGTCCGTTCTGAGTTTGAGCATGGCTCGAATGTCCGCGAAAAAAATGTTCGGCATGCTCGGGGAAACAGGGGGGCCCGATATCCGAGACCCCCGGACTGT